TGTCAGTCCTTCTAGAGATTTGTCGATTTTATTGATATTTTGAACGTGCCAGCTCCTTATTCTTTGATTTTTCATTTTTTCCCCTAATCTCTCTGATTTTTTATCTTTATTTCCTCCCTTATGCTAGATCTGGGTTTATTTTGCTCTGCTTCTTCTGGATTCACAAAGTAAAAGAATAGTCTATTAATTTGAGACTTTTCCTCTTTGCTTATATATATATGTATATATCTAGAACCCATAAATATTGATAACATTTATTTTCATTTTCTTTCAGTTCAATGTAGTTTCATTTCAACAGAAATGAATCCTAATGGAGTACAGGAATTATTTAAGACTGTGTTGTTCATAACACAACACAAACAAGAGTCATAAATCTCAAATCTAGCTTTGTCTTCATGATTTCATAATCACACCACAGTGCAATGTATTTAATAATCAAAGAAACAATAAAGTTAGGACGGCTAATTCACTGTGAAGATATATGACCAAGCACATCTACCTGGGCACCACATAAAAAGGTACACCTCAAATGTGGAGGCTTAGAAAGCTAGAAATAAAAGACCATGTGAAAGATTAGGCAAATGCAAATAAACTAAATCCAGAACTGTGGTTGAATATTAAACGTAGGTGAATTTGGGGCCAAAGCTGTTAGGATCAAGAACCTTCTGTATGGCTGAAGATAAGAACTCACTTTGATGATATAATCTATAAATACCAATGTGTTAAATCACAGAAAATTCATAAAGAAAAAAGTGAAAAGAAATTGATGTAAAATAGAAGCACAAGACAGGTAGGAAAGGTCACTCACTTTTTTTAATCCATTATCAATCAAGTGATCAGAAATTAGGTGAAGCCATAAAAGACATAAATAACAATTAATAATGCAAGTCTAACACTGATTGCAGAGCAATTCGAATGCAAGAATGCTCAAACCCACATGCATGCAGAGATGAGAAATGCTGATTTTATGTCAGGTGATTAAAAAGAACACAGCTTCCCATAATTTCTATAAACTGCAATAGTAATTGAATTTTTAGTAAGGACATACTAGGCATATATGACCAACCTTCCCTATTGAGGGAAGAAACTGAAGAAACCTGGGAAAATATGAAGAAAAAAATAAAAAACTTTCTTAAAACTCAAATTCGTTGGTTTCTCAAAGCCATGAAATTACTGAAGAATGCAGGCCCAAATCCAGGAGAGGCCACACACCCAACTCTCACTGCCATTTTTACCAAAGGGCGTCTGCCAAATGGAAGAAGAACTAGTAAACTGAGCTGTGCCTTGGGAGTCTTTGAGAAGAAAAGTCAAAGGCCAGAGCCAGCAAGACAGGAAGCACCCACAAGTCCTGCCCTCAGGCAGCGCCCGCCTGACGGCTGTGCCTCAGTGGGTCCTCAGGAAATGGCTGTCTTGTTCAGCCAGTCCCACAACATGGTGACCAAACATTGCATCAGTGGCTTTGCAAGAACTGCCATGGCTGTCACAGATGGCACCAATGACAAGGGACAACCAAACTCAGATGGACCCTATTCCTATATTCAACCAAGAGAAGACTGTGTCCCTCCGTTGAAACCCTGGCTGTCCTCTCATACATATTTCCCTACGCTTGCCCTGCCCGGGAATGGAACCACTGTCCATTCCTAACCCCGCCTTGGGCTGGCCATGGCAACCAACACCTACAAACTTCTCACTCCGGCCAGCCGTATTTCCTGATCAAAGCATCAGAAACCTCTACTATAATTCGTTGGTGTGTTCTGTCAAAGGGGAATTTGAAGTGATATCAGTAGAGAAAATTACTGTTAAATGATTTATTTTTGAGCAAGGGAAATGAGGAGGAGAGGGCCGGGTGTGGAGGAGGAAGCCGGTTCACTCTGCTATCTGCACTCCATGTTGACATAGGGAAGGGGCTTCATGGCAGACAGGCCAGCTTCTCTGGAGAGGCCTAGGGGAGACTTTGGCCTGTAGCCCCCAGGACACCAGTGTCCACCTGCACAGTGACTTTGCCAGGCAAGTGTGGGGATGATCAGACGTGAGTTATATGCATAACGCCTGTGAGCTCCCCTTTGAGAAAAAGGGTGAGATCCAAGCCCCCTTTCCTCTTTGAGCAACACATTAGATGTTGTGCTGCAGGACAGTTAAGGCAGAAATCCAATCACTGAGCTAATTAGCACCTTTGAGTGGTAAGCACCCACATCACAGGAGGGTGGCCCTGGAGTGGAGCTCCAATTGCCCAGTGGCTGGCTGGCAGCTCACCCTCTGAGAAGGGGGACAGCCCAGGGCCCCGGGGTACCAGCAGCTGCACTGACTTCCTGTTCATCAGAATTTACCACCGTGCATACAAAAGAGGCCATCGCCTTTTGAAAGATAGCTTTCCAGTGGACCTGGTTTTAGAAAGAGTTTGGATTCCCTAAGGAGTTTGGGAAATGACTTTCTTTTGGCTTAATCCCACTTTAAAAATTGTTTATTCTGCCTCTGAAAATTCCATTTGTCCCAGGTCTTAAGGTGAAATTAAAATTCCATTTAGGGACCCGCCGTGCAGGCATGGGATTTCAGTCTTCATTAGAAATAATTTCGTTGTTTGTTCTATTTTCTGCCACCCTGGACTCTTCTACTTTCGAAGCTGCCAAGGGGGAGGACAGCACAGCCATGGCAGAGCAGCATGCTGGGGTTACGGCCTTTTTGACACATAGGTGAAGAGTCCTCTCCAGCCATCTGTAGAATCTGTGCCAAGCTCCTGCAGGATCTGCCTGCATGGTTCACAAATGTCTGAGGCAGAAAAGGAAGCAGAAGATACCTTGATTTCTGAAGACAAGACTTTTCATTTATTCAAATAATAATTCCATCCAAATGTCTGTGTTAATTCTTGGTTCTGTGTACTTACGAGAAGTGGACACACTCTCAAAGAACGCCGTGATTTCTTATAGAAAAATAAATTACTTACTCAAAAACAGCGCCAATCCTGATAAAAACATTGACTATACTACATTTGATTATAAATCTCCACACCTCAAGATGAGTACAAATTGGCCTGAGACCAATCATGTTTAAACATAAGCCAAACTAAACATGTGCTAAGAAGGCAACTCTGGTTCTCTCTTGCTGTCAGGATTGTTGTTTTTGGATACAGCACTTGTTATGTCTGAGAGAGGGAGCCTTATCTAGCGTTCAAATTCAATGTCTAACAAGTGTCGATTGGAGCCCTTGAATGGGTCTGAATAAACTGACCACCTAGCTATTCGCGCTCTAAAAAAAGGCACTAAGGAGATACATCGACTCCTCTCCACATGAGGATCCTGAGTTTAGAGAGCCAGATTGTGGGTGGTTGCAAAGATGATCACCAATTTCATTACACACAGATCATCTAGATCTCGGTTGCAATCACTAAGCGTAAGTTAGGAGTAAGTAGTAAAAGCTGGTGACAGAGTGTGTCTCTCAGAGGCAGTTGCGTTAGTGATAGCTGGTGTGCACATATGTGGCTGTCAGGTGGTAGTGTGTAGGCCTACACTCTCTGCTCGTGTGCACATTAGACTTGCTCTTGTTTGGTCCCATGAGTCCCTCTCTTAAGGAGTACCATGAGTACGGCGACTCCCCCTACTCACCCCCCATCTCAGAGGGATGAGGTGAGGAAGCCACGAGTCAATGCGCTAGAAGGTGCATGGCACAAGCAAGGGCCATGTGACCGTGAGCCACCATTGTGACCGCCGTCAACCATGATAAGTGCTCCGAAGGCGAGGTACAGCATGGGAAAGAGGTTAACAAGTCAGTCCTCCCTGGGCAGAGGTCAGAGTGGCTTCCTGAGGAATCGGTCCTTCCGCTGAGCCGTGAGGGACGAGGGGTCAGGAGTTGGCGTGCGTGGGGATGGAAGGTGAGGGCTGTGAGTGGAGGGAAGCGAGGCCGTGGTTGGCCGGGGGCCGGTAGGAGGGTGGGCATGTTGAGGATAGTGAAAAAGGAGGCTAGAGCCTGGAGAGCAAAGGGCCGGTTTCTTTTTTTCTTTCTCCTCTCTCCCTCTCTTCCTTTCTTACCTCCCTCCCTCCCTTCTCCCTCTCCCTCTCTTTCTTTTTTTCTTGGTGGTACTGGCGATTGAATTCAGGGCCTCGTGTTTGCTAGACAGGGGCTCTACTTGAGCAGTGCCCTCAGTCCTTTGCTTTTAGTTTGGTTGGACCTGGATCCTCCTACCTCTGCTTCCCAAGTAGCTGGAATTAGAAGCACGCACCACCTTGCCTGGCCATGTGAAAGCCCTTTCTTAATGGGGAGTATATCAGGCTTAACAATCTGAAATTGCCAGTTTTATTATGGTTGACTATCATCAGTTTTATTGTCATCAGTTTCACAGTAGACCTAGAAAGACTGATGACACTACTGCTGTATGTCTAAAATACAAAGACAGGACTGGCAGGGTACAGCCTCTCCAAACAGAGCACCTGCAACACCTACAAAGGGTTCCGGGGACTTGTGACATTCAAGATGAGTGGAGTTTTGGAGAACCCATGGGTTGGAGCATCTGTGTTGGAGGTCAGTTGGACAGACTGCCATTGATCAGTCACCTCTCAGAAGCCTGGAGTGAGTCTGTCGCTCACCGCCAACTCTCAGAAACAGTTGGTAACCCTTGATGGCTGTAAACCCAGGTGAGTTCAGAATTGAATAATGACCAAGCCTTTTCCAGTGGCCACTCGCCACAGTGCACACAACCCTCCTGGTCCTAAGCTTATATGAGCTGGCTTTTTCTCATGGTTCAACCTAAGAAAAGTCAATAGGTAAGGTGTACCCAAGAGGGGACAGCAAGTGGTGATGTTGACTACTTACTGCCATATTCTAAAATCAATTTGGCAAGAAAGAGGGCTGTGTGGCCACTGCGCTCAGATTCCAAAAGCGAGTGGCACCCCTGGAAGTCTAAGAACTTGCCTTTAGTTTGTGAATCTGGTATGCAGAATTGATAAGACACAAGGCCCTCCTCTCCAAACTGGAGGAATCTAACCATGACCTTTTGTGGCCCCTTCTAGTACAAAGCGAGTGGATAATTCCAACACGAGACTGGCGGTCCAAATTGAAAGGGATCCAGGTAAGACCTTTCGCTACACTCTTCTTAAACTTTCTGCTTATTTCATTCTACAGATGGATTCCAGCAGGGGGAATTAAGTGTGCCTAGTGCATTCCTTGGTAAACAAGCAAAATAGAACAAAATTGAGCAATAATAAACCATCTTAAGTTGGGACCACACGCCAGAGGACTCCTTTGTGCCCAGTCTTCCCTTAAAAAGTGTATCCCTCATCTGAGAGATCCCAGAGAGGGAAGGTACCATTAGGGCCCAGCAGGGGGGATGGAAATGCACCACACATCCCAGTTCTGCCCTCTCCACACAACCCCGGCCTTCCATAGAGAAGCAAGGCATTCTATCACCCCAACTCATCTGCACCCCTCCTTCACCTTCTCTGGGTGTCATCATCCACCCAACTAGACACCTGCTGTCAACAAACAGGCAGCATTAGCAGCACCAAGTCCTGGTGAGAACACAGAGCTGGAACTCGGTCACTGCTGGGGACACACACACATGGCACAGCCACGGCAGAGACCAGCAACCCCATTCCCTGGCATTTGCTGGAGCGGTAAGAAAAGTAACACCTGCACTCCTGTTCATGGAATCTGTAGTGGTTTTACTCTTGATCACCCACACTGAACAGAACCCCAAGGCCTTTCGGCTAACAGATGGACAAACAGGCTGGAGCACACGTGTGCGAAGGAACACTGCTCAACAGGGAAATGATCACCTTGCTGGGGAGGGACGCTCCAGGACTCTGCCATTTTCAAGACTCATAGGCCAGGATCTAGAAAGAAGGAATTTTACCCTCTAGAAAGGGTTCTCCACTTAACCTGACTTTTATGTACATATATACATAAAACAGATGGACTAATTTATATACTTAATATAAAAATGTATTTATGTGTGGATAACTTATGTTATAATATTAAAATATATAGTACAATGACTGCTAATCATACCTCAATGACTGATTTAACAAACTACCCTGGAGTCACTAGATGGGTGTGTTCTTAAGAAAACATTTCTCTAAAGGATGCTGTGTGTTGCCTACTATTCAACAGATATCTAGTTGGCTCCTACTCCAGGTTGCAAATTCTGCCAGTATGGGATACAAGTTTAATCAGAACCAACTCTACACTGTCCTCATTGAATTTATGGTGCAGTGGAGAAGTCAAGTGTTAGTTAAACAACTGTATACTCATAAACACACAAACAAAAGTAAAATTCCAATGGTGACAAACGCTCCAAAGCAGAGGACCCCAGGGTTGAGCCTGTGGTTGGGATTTGTCCTGGCAGAGGGATCAGTGATGGTTTCATGAGGTGCCACTGAGCTGGGGCCTAGGGAACAGAGGTGGATAAGCCAAAGAATATGGAGGAGCAGCACGGCAGGGGTCACTATGGTCACAGGCCCAGGGTGGGAAGCTGTGTGTGGCTCACTCATCCAGAAGAAGTTCTGTTGCTGGGTAAAGGGTGAGGAGGGAGACAGATGTGACCATGTGTTGTCTCTTGTGTGACCGTGGTACTAGGTTGGCTCCTGACAGTCCTCACTCTTCCTGCGTATGATAAAGCAGGTGGTCATCCTCTCACAGGTCCTGCTGAGAAGTCTGTGGTACCTGAAGAGCATTGAGGAGGTTTACAAATGGAGTTGGAGGGTCCCAAGTGACACATTCTGCTTTTCAAGTTGAAAAGCTCAGTCTGGCTACAGTGTGGAGATTAGTGAATAAAGACAGGCAAGCCACATGTGCAGGGACATCCAGGGATAAACACTGGCAGCTTGGTCAGGGCGGGGTAAAAGAGATGGAGAAAGGTAGAAAGACCCAAAGTCTACTTGAAGAAGGTGACGAGGATGCAAGGGAAAGAAGGCCCCCCTTACAGCTGTCTGGATGGTGGTACCAATCATGCAGATGGGGAATGGGATTGGAGGGGAGGTGACAACAAGGGGCTCACTGACTTGGACATGTGGAAATCAAGGAGCATTTGAGACATACAGGAGAAGATGCTAAGTAGAGAACTAGGTCACGCTGTCATCCCAACCGAGCTCGGGGAGCAGGCACTCACTGCCATCTTCCTATCTGCCTTAGGGAACGAGGACAACAACCTCAACTCCATCTTTTATGAGCACCTGACAAGGACCCTCCAGGAGTCGCTGTGTGGGGACTTAGTCCTTGGCCGTTGGGGGAACTACAGCTCTGGTGATTGCTTCATTTTGGCTTCAGATGACCTCAATGCTTTTGTCCACCTGATTGAAACTGGAAATGGTCTAGTCACCTTTCAGCTTCGAGGACTGGAATTCCGAGGTACGAATCTCTTCATGGTGAGCACTCCGGTCGAGTTCACGATCAGGCACAGCGTTAGTGAGAAGCCACCATGAAAGAGGAAGAACTGAATGCCTGTCCTATTGAATGATAATGGGGACATAGCTTTCACCCCCCTTAACCATGTCTTCCATGGACATAAACCCAGGTCAGCCAGGGGAATCATGACGTGAGACGGAACCACACGGAAACCTGAAACTAGCAAGTCAGGACACTGGGCTTGATCCTTCTGAAGCAATGGAGTACGTGTGGCTCCCCTTGGAGTTAGCCAAACCTAAAACAACCCAGTTCTGCTTGCTACAGGCTTCAGAGACTGAACAAATTAGTGTGTCTGAACTCTTCCTGCAAAAAGTTACGATAAATGGCGCCGTATAGTTGCCATGTGATTTGAATGGTTGCAGTGAAGATGTGATCGTCAATGACTGACGATGCTCCCCAAATGGTCTTTGCTCCGTGGTTGCTGAGTCTGCTGGCTTTGGAATGTGTGGTCCCAGTTTTTCTGAGAACCAGAAGTTGGAGTTTGTGGTGGGGCAGGTGGAGAGTAGCATATGACAGGCAAATAAAGGGGCACACTTGTCATGGCAGGGGAAGTGTGACAGAAAGGCAAGCAGGCTTCTGGGCCCTAAGTTCCTGCAGAGGGTGAGACTCTCGGAAGTGGACACAGCAGGACTGGGTGCATGCAGGAGAGGGGGCTCTGCACTTCCCCCTCGTTTCTAGGTCCAGTGTCTGGGTGGGTAGAGGGACGTTTAACTTAAACAAGGAGGCAGCACGAGGATCAGGACTTGGGACTGGGGTGGGATCCTTAAGGATCTCCCTTTTGAGTGTTTTGATGTTTAAATGCTCTTGATTCACCCAAGGGACATCATCAAGCAGCTAATTGGACACAGGGTCCTCTGCTCTTCAGGAAATGTTGGCTTGGTGATGTGGTGAGCACCAGGGCGGGTGCCGTAAGCACAGAAGTGAATGTCCTATTGGGGAGCTGGGTGCTCGTGAAGGACAGCCACACAGGGAGAAATCACTGTCACCCAAGATGAGTGTGGTGACCGTGTCCCCTAAAGGCTGCACTGAGGACCAGAGGAGGGCACAGGGTCCATATGGGACTTGGGTCAGCTTGGTAGATCTGGTTGGAAGGAAGGGGAGGGAGAGCTCTCCTGCCAAGGAATAGGGGGGATGACAAAGAGCCACCAAGTCGCCCCTGTGGCCTCCAGCAGGTGGCTGGGCCAATGCTAGGAAAGTGAGCAGGAGCAGGGCATAGCAGTGCCGAGTTCTCCGTGGCTCAGGCATGCCTTTCACTAAGCGTACACTGCTGGGATTTCCACCTTGAACAGCATTTCCTAAAGAGTATGGGGCTCCCAGTTCTGTGGGTGAGGATGTCTAAGCATTTGCTTTGTGGTCATCCATTCCTTTTGACATTCCATAATAACTTTGCACAAAAGACGATTTTTGTTCTGGAGGGGTTCTATGTTTCAAGCATGCATTCTGTGCCTTTCTGTGAACTTCAGGACTAGAAGGAGGGAGCTGGGTTTGAGCCAGGTTACAGTGCAGGGCACAGTGGACAGAGTCCTCAGAATAATGGAGAAGCTGTGTCTCCCTTAGAGTTTGCAGAGCAGCCAGAAAATGCCACAAGAGGTAGCAGAAATTGTCTCAGCAGAACTTCCCTTGAGTTTCCGAATGGCAGCTATTTTGAGGTTTTTCCAGTTTTCCCTGGAATTGCCAGGAAGAACTTTCAAAGATAACCTGGTTGAACAAGAGTTACAATTTCTGTCACAAGTTCTATGTCACAAGTTCTGTCACCAGTTCACCACATAGAACATAACAAATCTTTGAGTTTCTAACCAATCTTAGAAGTTGGCAGAACCTCTTCTGTCTACCAACTCCTCATCAGACGGGGTCCTTCTCCATCTACCCTAGGAAATGTCTGGGTGTCCCCTCCTTTCTAGCATCTATGGAGCATATCCAGCCAGTGCGCCACTAAGGAGTGAGAAGAGAAGTGATGGTGTACTTTCTCACCATTGTGTCATTGGCCAGTTGCTCAGGACTCACAAATGTAGCTGTGTCCAGCTGGTGATGAGCCAACCTGTAGTCCATGACACCACCTCTGGGGCAGGACACCAACCCTGGAACCTTTGACCCCTTACACAGGCCACATAGCCTCCAGGGGGGTGGACAACATGTCTTCAGGACTGAGTAAAGCCAAGTGACTTTGGGGGTCCACAAAGGACAGTGTGGAAACCGCAGGGCCCCTGCAGGGCCAGGCTCTGGGACAGGTGCCACCCACTTCTGCCATGTCCCAGTGGCCAATGTCATCTCCAAGAAGAGCTCAGATTCAGGTGTTTGAAAAGTGGTCCTGTGACCAACCTGCACTGTGGTGTGGTGACAGGGACATGTTACAGCAGCAGGCAGACTCTTGAAACTTCTCCAGGTGGAATACAAAAGGAGGCTCCCTGAGAGGTCTTTCTTCTTTGAGATAACCCCAGCAGCATGGCACCTGGCTATAGGTCACTTCACCATGGTAACAAAGTCTTGAGGAAAAATGCCACCACATCCACCCTGGCCCCACTCACTCTACAGTGGATTTTTGACCTAGTTTGATGGCAGTTTGGAACATGGGGACTCCAGAGAACAGGTAGCCTGACAGAACCTACAGTGTGCTTTGCCTGCAGGAAGACCCCTGCTGGCCTTTGTAGCTTTTGGCACAGATGCTGCGGCACTCCCAGAGTCCTGTTGTACCTCCTTGGGTATTTTTGTAAGCTTTCTGTCCTCATTTTACTTTTCTTTTGGACTTCCTATTTTCCCAAGGAGCAGGCTTTATTTTGGTCAAATTTAATATACTTCAGCAGAGCCTGGGGTTAGTCAGAATATAGATGGGTAAGGGTCTCTCAAAGTCTGCTGAGGAAACCAATGGGTGGTTCCTCTTCTTCTTGAAACCAAAGTGTGGTTGTTGTTGTTGTTCTTCTTCTTCTTCTTCTCACTCTTTCTCTCTCTCTCTATGAGAATGGACCCTTGGACCACACCCTCATCCCTGGTTCTTTCTCAGCTGGCCAAGCAAGGCCACCTACCCAAGGCCATGAGGCAAGGAAGTCCCTCTCTTCCTCCCCTGACAGTGATGCATTGTGTCCTTAGTTCTTAATTGCAAGCTTCAGCAATCAGATCCTGCTAACCTAAGAGAAGTGTTTAAGGGACGAGATGTCAGAGGGCACAGACTTGCTGAGTGGGATGGGAGGCAGGGTTGGTGGCTGTTGGGCAAGTGCCATGTCTAAAATCATATGGCAGCTGAGATGAAGTCACATCTGGACAGTGACTCAGGCATTGCTCTTACATCATCACCACCATGAGTGTGGGTGCTGGATGCAGCTGTCCCCAAGAACTGGATGGCTGCCCCTGCCACCACCTCCCTTCCAGGGTGCTTTCTGGGACTTGCTGTCTTTCTTTCTAGCTTATTCATCAAAGTCTGCTGTGAGCGTGTCGGATAGTCAAAGCCCAGATCACACATGAGTGCTCTGGACAGTGTCGGACGTCTCAGTTCTCACAGTGGCAGATGGTCGTCTCTCACCAGGACTTAAGCTGTAGGTGCACTGGTTCAGGCGGTGCTAGCTGCTGAAACGAAGCTCCCGAGTGCTCACTCCATGGTCGCTGGACACCTGGAGTCCCATAGTGAGTGAAGGTGGTACGGCAGGTGTGGTTCCGTTCTACACCCCTGGAGTACTGGCCAATGGGAGCTCTGCCTGCTTCCTAACAGCTGCTCTCAAGGTCACTTTGAGCATCGGTGTTGAGCTGGCAGGAGTGGAGGATTGCGTGTGGCTTGCTATTGGCCAGGCCGGGGCCTCAGAGGCATCATTTCTTCTACATTTCCCTGGAGAAGTGACATAACCACAAGACAGACTATGGAATGCCTTCCAAGTGAGTCCCAGGAGAGAAAATAAAGAGTTTCAGGGAACAGATAGTCAGTCTTTGTCACAGTGCACAATTTCCCAGCATAGAATAGAAGTTTCCATCCGTGTACCCCAAAGAATGACCAGACTCCATGCTGCATCCTGGTCCATGACCAGTACTGCAGTGGATGACTAATCAAGTCTGGCATCAAGAGTTCAATAAAGAAGCCATGCTTTCTAGCCTGTCTTGTCTGTTTCTACTTATGCCTTCTATTGTATTCTTTTTGGCCAGTGTATCCAAAAGCAGAAATAAACTCTATTCATGTCCACCTAAGAAAGCAGGACTGTAGTTCCGCTGGTATAGTTCAGGTGTATTTCTTGCATCTCCCCAGCCAGAGTTTTTAAGGGAACATTTGAAGGTTGGCAGGTGAATCAGCAACCTTAAATCAAGTCAGGGTAACAGACAAAGCATGTGAGAAGGCCACAGGGTGAGAGGCACCAAGTTCAAGGTTTTTCAAAAGAAATGGAGTCTGTTGAGTTGCAAATCCCAGTTAGCCATCATTCAAGCTGGTGGACACAGAAAGATGAGGAAATGACAGCTGGTTTTCCATAACCATCAAAAGCTCCCAGTCAGTCCTCTTTCTTCTAGCTCAATGCTGAAGTTCAAGGTGACCTTGAAAGCAGGTAGAGCTTCCCTTGGCTCTTCGGTCCATCTCTGTTCTCCTCTACCCAGCCAGGTGGCCTGGGTGGGGTTGGCTTAGCCATTTCTATAAGAGGGAACAGGATGGTCGAAGTTGAAATATTAGAAGAAATGAGTTAGAGATGGGAGGTGGCTGCTGGAGAACAGGAAGTTTGATACTGACACTTAGAGAAGGAAAGCTGTTTTTAGTAATCCAAGTCAAAGGTTGGCACCACAGAAATTAGGAAGGAAGGAGGAAGGGAAGGAAGAAGAAGGGAGGGTAGGAAGGTAGGAGGGAGGGTGGGAAGAGGAAAGGGAGGGGAAGCAAGGAAGGAAGGAAAGAAGGAGGGAGGAAAGAAGGGATGGAGGGAGGGAGGGAGGAAGGAAGAGGGAAGAAGGAAGGAGAGAGGGAGAGAGGAAGGAGAGAGGGA